AAACAATCAGGGAGCGTTGGATATAGGGTTTCTCACCATTGAATCCTCATTCAAATCGATTAAGAAGGTTTATATGTGGGTAAATAAAGTACGCACGTTATACACATAACGTACGCGTTGTAGACGCATTTCATGCGCATTGCATACGCAAATGACAGTTCTTGGTTTTCTCTCAAAAAAATTTAATTAATTCAAATTTAATATATTCGATGCATTACTTGGGTTTGAATCATTCAAATACTCATTTTATAAACGTTGCAAAATGATTATAAAAAATCTCACAATGAGACTTTGTGTTTGAGAACACCCTTGTGCTACACACAAGTGATGGTTCTAGAATGTGGGTGTTATGCTTCAATGGTTGAGGACTCATTAGACCACAAGGAGAATCAAAAATTTTTTAGAATGTTTCGCCCCGTCAATAAACAATCAGGGAGCGTTGGATATAGGGTTTCTCACCATTGAAACCTCATTCAAATCGATTAAGAAAGTTTATATGTGGGTAAATAAAGTATGCACGTTATATGCATAACGTACGCGTTGTAAATGCATTTCATGCGCATTTCATACGCAAATGACAGTTCTTGGTTTTCTCTAAAAAAATTAAATTAATTCGAATTTAATTGATTCGATGCATTCCTTCTATTTGAATCATTCAAATACTCATTTTAACAACGTTGCAAAATGATTATAAAAAATCTCACAAGGAGACTTTGTGTTTGAGAACACCCTTGTGCTACAAACAAGTGAAAGTTCTAGAGTGTGGGTGTTATGCTTCAATGGTTGAGGACTCATTAGACCACATGGAGAATCAAAGTTTTTTAGAATGCTTCGCCCCGTCAATAAACAATCAGGGAGCATTGGGTATAAGGTTTCTCACCATTGAATCCTCATTCAAATCGATTAAGAAGGTTTATATGTGGGTAAATAAAGTACGCACGTTATACGCATAACGTACGCGTTGTAGACGCATTTCATGCGCATTGAATACGCAAATGACAGTTCTTGGTTTTCTCTCAAAAAAAATAAATTAATTCGAATTTAATTGATTTGATGCATTCCTTATGTTTGAATCATTCAAATACTTATTTTAGCAACGTTGCAAAATGATTATAAAAAATCTCATAAGGAGACTTTGTGTTTGAGAACACCCTTGTGCTACACACAAGTGATAGTTCTAGAGTGTGGGTGTTATGCTTCAATGGTTGAGGACTCATTAAACCACATGGAGAATCAAAGTTTTTTAGAATGCTTCGCCCCGTCAATAAACAATCAGGGAGCGTTGGATATAGGGTTTCTCACCATTGAATCCTCATTCAAATCGATTAAGAAGGTTATATGTGGGTAAATAAAGTACGCACGTTATACGCATAACGTACGCGATGGAGAGAACTTATCCTACACTTATCTTTTCTACAATCCAGGGAAGAAGAAGAAGCTTTCAAAGCTTTAACAAAAGGATAATATCATTCAATAATGCTCAAAACCTTACATTGGACCTATTTAAAGAGGAAAATAGAAGTCTCTAGAGCAAGGAAGGTAAACTAGTCCCTAAGCACAATAAAAGCTTAGATGTTCCTACACTTAATTATTGCACTAGAAATTACACAATTTTTCAGCCACATTAAAACAATTTGCATGGTCACTTATTTTGGAACAACACATACAAATACTTAATTTTTGAAACTATTGCATTTAACCTTGTACATGAAGCGGTCTATGGCTGTGAGATGATGAGTTCAAGGGAACAAAAGCACACCAATAAAGAAGAAATCTTCAATATATATATATATACATATATATGGATGATTTGAACATGCAAATGTCAGATAATCAAACACAATATTTGATAGACAATCCTAAACCACATGCTTATAATAAATATCTCAATTATATATGATTAATTTTATGAATCACACTCTACCTTTGTTCCATCTAACTATTTTGTATTGCATGAGTAAGAGGATAAAACTTGATGGCATCTTTTAATAGAACGAAATAAAAGAAAATGTAAGAACATCAACCAAATAGGTGCTCTCAGATGCATAGCACCCTCAAAACATCAAAAGAACCTGTTATGTATTATTAGCTCCAAATGTAAGAAAACATCTACCGAAAGCAATGCCACAATAAGATGGCAGCTACTTGTAGTGTTACCTATCGGTTCCAAGAAAAAGAAAAAAAGAATAGCATTGTATTCTGCAAAACTCAAGATTCAAAGCTGAAAACAGGATAAAACAGCAGTAGAGAGAGAGAGGGAAAATGTACTTCTTGTATGAGTCACAGCAAACTTCTCTACGTAGCCAAACCTGCGAGTACACCAACCTATATCAGAATCTGCAAATGAATAGGATGGAAGCAAATAGACAGAAAATTCAACAGATTCCAATATAAGTTTTAAATATCTGAAATTAATTAACAAGATAAAAACTACAAAATCTACTAAACAAAAGCTTTTTAAATGAGTCATAATAATACATACATATATATATGACATTCTATATTTTCTCAAAAGCCTTGCAGAGATACGAAAGCAAAAGAAAACTGCAGGATATAATTTTATGTTGATTAATAAATAGCAGAAAGTTAGAAATGGGTTCTGGGAAGTATATTGCCAATATCTCATTGCAAGTTACTTGAGGAAACCAGTGAAACAGACGGTGCGTATTTCATCCTATGTAAAGGAATAAAACTTTGGGTACTCAGATGTCAGTCAAAGTTGGGATAATTGATAAAGGGGAAAAAACAGGAGAGTGTTACTAAATTAAGGATTGGATCTACAGTTCTGTATGCTCCAATGCATTACTGTTTCATTGAGCCGATTTGTAATGTCGATTACCATTAAATTGACAGTTCCAAAATGAAATCTGATTAATCTACTAATTGGACCTAGCAAGCATCTTTCAACGCAAAACTCGCAAACTTTAAGTTCAATTGAAACAAAACTCAGTGGGGAGCTTCAAATTATGAAACCTTGCATCCGCGTCAAAAAAGAGCAATTGCTAGAGAGGTTCCCTTCTGTAACCCATATTTTCTAGTACTCTTTGTAGAAACTTACCAGAGAAATGCAGGGAAGAAGATGAACAGTAATACCAGATAAAGAACAAGTAAATAATATTTTATTATTACTTTTTCTGCCCTTTACAGCCGGCCTATGTCTCTATTTATAATAGACAAGGAATAGATAGGTACACGTGGCAGCATCTTATTGAAAGCAAGAAAGAGAGATGGAGATTTATTTAGTGGTTCTTAACACTCTTCCATTCATGCTCTTAGAATGGAATAGAGTAGCAACACATAAGATCAGACTTCATCAAATGAGCGAACAAAGTCAATAACGCAGAGAATTAAGATTTAGAATAAGCATAAACTTAATAAATAATGCATGAAAAGAGTGATAAATTCTAAACACTACATGAAATTTATGCATTACTGTCGAAATTTCCGGCGAAAAAATTCCGCCGGAAATTTCATTGGTTTTTAAGTATGCTAGTGGAATTTTTGACGAACTTTTTTGGCTGAAATGTTATTTAATTCCATCAGAAAAATCCTTTGGAAATACCGTCTAGTAAAGGCCCTGTTTGATCTTGAGACTGTCACCCTCTCCCATATCAAAAAATTTTTCTCCCAAACAGCTCTTTCTTCCTCTCCGTTCAAGATCATTTCTAGACCATTTTATTTTATATGTCTGGCATGTCTCTCTTGAATTTCTTGGGTTTTGTTATATATGTCTGGTTCAAAATTTTTTTCCTTTATTCTAATTCTAGATATGCTTTCAAGAAAATTTGAATCGTTAGGAAAACTGAGAGATGACATCAATCAGCTCAACAAGAAGTAGGAGAAAGGGATCAGCACAATCTGTTTATGCTCAGATCTTCCCAAGGAACTTCTAATGCTTTGGTATAAATCTATATTTTTCTTTGGTGCTTTTTGCATTTTGATCCTATTCCTCTCTACATTATAAACATCTAATTGCAGAACTACTTCGTTTATATTCTTATAGGATACTATCAAGGAGGAGATATGTACGTTAAGTTTGAAGAGTTTTTCTTATGCTCCTCTTCCCTACAACAATTTTGTTCCTTTGTTGGTTATTTATTTGTTGTTCTAATAAAATTTCTGATTTTAACAGGGCTGAGTTCAAGAAGAAATCCAACGGGGAATATTTTTCCAAAGAAGTTTTTACTCCTACAGCTGCTTCATTTGTACTGTTACGAGAGTTTTTTCTCCTATAGTTTTCTACCGGAAAGAAATTTCTAACATTTTTGAAATTCCCTAAGTTTTTTTTTTATTTCGACAGTTAAAACATTGAATTTTTTTGTCTGTAAACCACCAAAAAATCCGTCGAAAATTTTTCCAGCGAAACTTTATTCCACCGGAAATCATTTTCCCATGCATGTTGTACTAGCGGAAATTATTTCGCCAGAAAACACACATTATCCTGTAGTGTAAACAGTGCTACAATCCTCATCCAAAAGAAGACTTTTTCATAAGAGTTCCCAAAGAAATGGAACTCCTCATGATCTATACAATCAAAATTTTTAAATTTCAAAATAAATTTTTGAATTGGGAAAAATCGTTATTTTTTTAAATCACCTGACAAAATATCTCAAATAAATACTAAAAGTGTTCATAATCTCAATCTCTATAACATATAAAAAATAAAGTGATGAAAGTTTTACCAATATAAAATTATCTTCGGTAACAAAAATACAAATATGATTGGAAAAATCTCAAAAATACCAAATTATTGAAATAAGAAATAGGATAATAGTTCCTTAAAATGAGACAAGCAAATCTCCCAACCGGATTGACCGACGAAAATCACTCTACGGTCTCCAAACCCTAGGTTTCTTTTTCGTTCTCATCTATTTTCTCTCTCATTTCCCTTACAGGCTCTCTGTTGCAGAAATTAATAGGGAAAAAAGATTAAAAAGCTTTTTTAATGAATTATGTAAAGTGTTCTAAGATATTTATATTAAAATGTAATATTCATATAATTATATAATTTAATCAATTTATTTGATAGGATCAAAATACGGGCTATTACAATTATCAGATTCAAGATTTTTAGTTCGCTGTGCTGCTAGCTAATTATGTCCCTCACAATCATCTGCCTCTCTACCTGTGTACAACTATGCCTATGTTTTTGCTACCTATGCCATCACTGCTCTTGGCGCTCCCTATCATAGCAACTAAATTGATAATTATATACCGCACCTGTACTACCCTAATTAAGGGATGATCCCACTCCCAAGGATCCCTCTCTCAATTGAGCAAACTGAGGCATCCACCTCTACCATTACATGCCTGAAACAATATTTTCTTCCCTAGGTAAATAGGTAATCAGATGGGACATAGGTGATAAAGAGAATCTTTCTTGGAAAGCCTTCACTTGCTTAAGAGGATTAACTTCAAATAGATGTTAAATTGTTTCATTTGTGAGAGAAAATTCTATCACCATTGTTAACAATATAACCAATTTGTTCATGCAATTTATCATAGTGATGGCTTACTGTCGTACATAGACATTAATCTCAAGTTTAACAAAGTAAAATTATTCCCAAATTAGATTTACTTTATTAGATAAAAAAATACAACAAAGGTAAGATACTAACACATCAAGTAGAATATGCACCAACAACTAAATAGATAAATTATCAATTCAAGTAAAATTATAAGGATGCAAAAACTGGTAAGCCCGAATCAAGAACTGTCACAGAAATGAAGTTGAAATAATTGTGAGGGAGTATGAAAATAATTGAAGTACTGTGATAAGCCTTCATTTTATCTAAAACCATGATCAAGGAAATAAAAGTACTTATAATAGAAATATAAACCATGAAATTTATACCAAATAAATAGTCTACATACAGTGGGCTTAAAAGAAAAATACATTATATTCCGGAAGAAAAATGAGAAATCAACTTTCTTCAGTTAAAGCTCAAAGTCAAGAGTAGAAATTTACAACCTTCATATCTGATTCAGTGAGCAATATTGCTTGCTACTGTTAGCATCAATCTACAATGATATGTTTCAAGTCTACTGCCCCAATAATACTAATGTTTTCAATCATCATAAGCCTCATCCAAACTATGCAGGGATAGTGTTAGGTCGGTTCCTAAACCGAACCAGCCAGCCCCACATGAGCCGGCCTTAGTCTACAGGAAGCGGATCAAACCGCCTCCCATGTTGCCGCCCAAACAATAGGGGCCCACACCCATTTGATTGCCGCCAATTAATAGTGGGGTCCTATTTGAATTAATCTATTTTTGACAAGGGGATTAATCTATTTGATGTAATCTATTTTTGGTAAGGGGATTAATCTATTTGATTTAATTTATTTTTGGCAGGGGGTGGGCGGCTAGGCTATAAATAGGCATGAGAGGGAAGGAATAGGGCATGCTTTATTATTGATTCTATTGGAATTTTTTGGGGTTTTGAGCTCTAAACTTATTGTCTAGAGATTGAGAGAGTGTGGGCTCCGAAAATTTGGCACCGGCCTCCGTCCGCTGTGCTTTTCTTATTCGGGGGGAGTTTTAACGGAATTAAGTTCCAGGGTAAATTTTGGGAAGGCAGATGCGTTTGTAGATAAGACAATACCCAGAGATTTCTCCCTCATTTTGCAAGGACTTTATGATCTAAGTTATGGTTTCCTACAGGCACAAGCCCCTATAGTTAATTACCCCTCCCGATAATTCCTCCATAGTTTCCATTTTGCCAATTGTTTGGCTCTCCCCAAGTCTCCTGATCTTCCCTTCCCCTTTCATTTCCATACCCTCCTTCAAATTCCCCTCTCCTCCCGTCAAAATCAGATACTCAACGGCCATAATATCCTTCCCTAAGTTCCCAAGCAATACCCTTTTGCTCGTGCCTTCCATACCCATGCCTTTCCCCAAACCTACCTCCTTTGTCCTCCCTCTGGAAATGCTCCAGATGGGATCTTCTCCCTTCTCCCTCTACGATTTCCACCTCGTCTTCGTCCTTCAAATTTCAAAATTCGTATTATTTCCTTATGTCCCTTTTGCCCATGAAGCCGTAGATTGGTTGTGGATTTTCAACATCATATCCCATAAATCAGCTACTTGCCCTTCCATGGAGGAAATTCTGTCCTCCATTGTCATCTTTATCTGATTCATCTCCCCCTACAAACATTTCTCAAGCGCGTCAATCTTTTTGGTTGCCATAAAAAATTTTTAGTTTTGCTCAAAAAATCAACAAGCATTCCTTCCTCCGGATGAAAATTTGCGGCTGAAATTTCAGAAAATCAGCTCCTGATGGTCCCAAGACTTGCTCTGATACCAATTTA